GAAACACAATGTCAGGGGGCCTGGAGGTCAGTGCTACGGTTTCAGGGCTCCTGGGTTTGGTTGTGGTTTGGAGTACCTTCTGTGCTGGCATGGTTTTCTCTGTGGGTTCTGGTTTGCTGATGTCTCTAAATCGTTCCTTCGAGATCTAATTGATCAGACAGTATCAGTTGTTTCTTGAAGGATCCCATGCCATCAGCTGCAACAGCGCGACATGGCCGGCTCGTTCCATGCTCCCACCACCCTTTGTGTAAGGACGTGCCATTTGGTCTCAGTCTTAAGGGCACGCTCCCGTAGTTTACACCTGTGTGCTATGGCTCGTGCTTCACCATGATTGTGAAAAAAAATGCATCGGAGTGATTTTGCCATTGTGAACTGTTGGTTCGAGTTTATCCATCCATGTTTTGAACTGCTCCAGTTCAGGGTCGCGGGGGAGCTGTAGTGAATCTCAGCAAGCAGTGGGTGCACCGCAGGGTACACCCGGGATGGGACGCCAGTCCATCACCAGGGCAAACACACGCACACAGTCACACCAGGACCCAGAAACCAATGAGCCTGCCAGCATGTCTGTGGTCTGTGGGAGGAAACCCATGCGAACATCAGGAAAACATACAAACTCCACAGAAAGAGCACCCCGTAGTCATCGTGCTGCCCTGATTCCAGATCAATAGTTAATGAACAGTCATTGTAAGACATTCCTTTAGAACCTAGACTGTGCCTGTCATATGCTCCTCCTGGGACTGATTCACGAGCAGTCATATCTTCTTTGTAATGCAATAGTCAAAGTGATATGCAGTATACCAAATGAGCTCTCATGAATGCATTGTACAAAATGCAGCGTAACTTCCTCTGATCTAAGCACGCTTTTAACTCTGCCAGTAGTCAGACCTCTGGTTGCTTTGTTGTTTTGCTTCCCCATGTTGTGCAGAAGAGGGAAGGGAAAATCTTTTTTACCTGACAGACCGCCTCGTTCAAGATAGAAACATGTCCTGTCACGGGTCTGTTGTTTTCACCTACTGAAAAGAGCCACGGTTTGGCTTCCTGTGAGTCACGTTCTGCCCTTCGCACTGAAGAAAGCACTCCCGCACTTGGGAGAGAGAGAGAGAGGAATACCCGATCTGGGATGGCTTTTCCCACCTTTTCCAACGAAGGAAAATAACCGTTTCCTCTCTAGTTTCACTGGAGATGCATGAGCAGCTCCGAAACGGTTGTCTTTATTAAGACCCCCAGACCACGGGGAGGTAGGGCTCAGCAGCAGGCTAGCTTCCAGGGGGCTGATGCATTAGAATCCGCCTGGGGTCTGCGCACTGTGCTCCTCTCGGGGCCTGGCTCATTCGGATATCGATTATGCCATTAACCCCCTCCCCCAGACGCCCCGACAAGCTAATCGCGTCTGAGTGCAACAACAACAACAACAACAACATCTAAAGGGGAGCACACACGCAGGATGTGTTATTCTCTTAATGGACAAACATTTGCACTGAGTGCAAGCCAGACCGCAAAGGCCTTTAATAGCTTTTGATCCAGGATACTGTGCAGCTCGGCCTGTGTCCCTTTTCAGTGTGTCCCCTATTACGTCACCGCCAAACACAGACGCACACGCGCTCACACAAAACACAGGTCTAAGCTGAAGCACGCCTGGCTTTTGGCGAAACTCATGGTGCTACTGCCTAGTGCTGCCCCCGTCGATTACAGGAGAAAGGTTTGTTGGGCTCTCCCTCTCCCTGTCTGGAAAAGTCCAAAGCCGTCTGTGTTGTCGCGAACACGGCGGGCGGGTGGAATGATCTGTGTTTATCCCTCTCAGACCCCGCGCAGAAATAGAACCGGTGTTCCACCGAAACGCCTTTCGTTTCTGAAAATAGCCCGGCGGCGCTGTTTGTTTCCTGGATTGAGCCACACAGAGGGTGAACCAGCAGCCCGGAAAACAGCCTTCACGCAGGCTGAGGCGCATATGCCCGCGGGCCGGGGTCAGCCAGATTAAAATGAGCACCCCAGACTTGTTCCCTTTTTTCCCCAACACACCTGGGCAATCCTTCTCTGGGACGTTTGTCCGTGCCTGGATCAGCACAGGGCTGGTTCAGTCCCACTCTTGGAGTTTTTTTTAGTCTCTTGAATTCCCAAAACAAGCAGAGCTAATAAAGGGGGGGGAGGTTAAATAATTAATTTAAGATGATAATAATAATATTAATAATGCTGTGCCCAAATGGAGTCCGCCCCTCTCTTGACAATTCCCAGTGATGACCAAATCCGCAAAGCTTCCCCCTATGTGTTTGTATAGCGCCTTTCATCCCAAAGGGCTTTACATATAGAAGGGGGACCACCATCACTCACCTCTGGATGCAGCTCCCCAAGCAGATGCCCCCCAGGAGAGCAGACCTGATGGTAAAAGTGAGACAGAGGAAAATGTCGGCTGTGGTTCTGATTGAGGGCAGTGGCAGGGCACAGCGGTCGGCTCTGCCGCCTGACGTCCTGTGGTTCGATTCCTGGGGTGCTGTCTGTGTGGAGTTTGCATGTTCTCTGCGGGCTGGCATGGGTTTCCTCCCACAGGCCAAAGACACGCTGGTGGGTTAACTGGCTTATCGGTCAGTTCTGCTCTGTGTGAGTGTGTGCGTCTGATACCCTTGTGATGGACTGGTGTCCTGCCCATGTGGTACCCTGCCTTGCGCCCGTTGCTTGCTGGGAAAGGCTCCGGCTCCCCTGTGACCCTGAATTGGATGAATCTGGGTAGAAAATGGATGGCGGGATTAGATTGAGCATATACCTAAGGTGAGGTGAATAAATCAGCTTTATTTGCCCAGTACATTCCATGTACAACAAATCTCTGTCCTCTGGTGTGCTTGCTGCTGCAAAGACATTCGACATGTTCCATAGACGCTCAAGACAACAGACATCATTAAGACAGGGGACATTTCACTGGGAATGCTGGACGCACACAAGGACAGCCCTAGGAAAGAGGCTGATCAGATTCGAGGTGGTTCTGGGTTCGACGGACCGGTACTGTCTTCCTGACGGAGGTTTTTTGAAACAGGTGGTCACCTGGGTGGGGGAGGGTCATCAGCAATCTTGCCTGTCTCTGCTCTGGACTCCCGTACAGGCGGAGACGGGCAGGCCACAGGCAGGGACCTGCGCCGTTTGCCTCACCTCGCCAATCAGTCACAGAGGCCAGGCAGAAGTCCCTCAGTAATGGCTCTGTGAAACTGTATCAGAAATAGTGGAGAGACAACACCGTTTTTCAGCTGCAGCAAGAAAAAAGTACACGCTCTGCTGTGCTTTCTTCGTGATATCGGTGATATTCATTTCCCACTTAAGGGAATTCGAGATCACAAAGGGCTCCTTCACACTCACCGCCTCGTCATAGATTAACAGGGAGAGAGGGTCCGGGAAGCGCCTCCGGAAATCAACCACCACTTCCATGGTACTTTGTTGATTTCCTGTGCTTCAGGGCACTTTTATCAGGGCGATTTGTTCGTATCTTAATTTACCACAATCCTCTACCATGTTTTTACGCTACAGTGTTGTGCTTAGTGACCACAGTGTCACAGTGACGTCTTCAAAGTTTAAAGAGGTTTATTAGGAACCATAGTGGACAGAGTAAGAGAGTTTGCGTGAGGTGGAGGGGCGACAGTTGAGTGCCAGCTCAGGCATGCCAGGGCATGTATTTCAACACTTCAAGGCGCCCAGTTAAGTTTAACAAACAGGATAGAGGCTGTAAAATACACCGCAACCACAAACCCTCTCTTCCAGCTCAGCTCGACCGCGATCGTCGCTGTTCGGATATGTGTGCGCGCAAAGATAGCGGGATAAAAATAAAACGAAACTTGACGCGATTTCTGAGACGTCTTCGTCCAACACACACACACACACTCTCCCCCCTGCTTCGTCCTCAGCCGTGTGTGACCACACACGCGTTTCCTCGGCTCCTGCGCCTCCGGAGCGCTCTGCCTTGCCGGTGACATCACGCGTTGACGTCGCCGAGCTATAGATGGAGCTGTGGAGCGCGGCAGCGGGAGACCCCGGCTGCGAGCGGCTTGTTGATATTCCCAATGACCTGCCTGCGCTTCCCAGAGAAGAGGGCAAAGCCGGGGAGCGTGGTGATGATCCGGCCTCCGCCAGCGTAACCGGAGACCCCCGGGGCGAGACTCGGAGAGCGCGGCGGCGCGGCGGCGGCGAGAGGAGAGAGGCGGAGGACTGGGGAGGCAACCGGAGGCTGTAGCTCCAGGCGAGGGGGAGAGCGACGAGCGAGATCGGGGAGGAGTGGTGGTGGTGGTGGGGGGGGGAGAACCCCCATAACACAGTTTCTGCTCCTGTGAGAGAACACCCCCCTTCCCCTTCTCTCTCCATCAGAGGAATCGCCGCTTACAAATAACACCCCGAGTCCGCGGGGTGGAAACTCCGGAGGCACCGCCGCCAGAGACGCACAGACCTCCAGAAATGAAGAAGAGCGCTTCGGCGAAGCGGGTGAGCTTCTCCTCCACACTGCCGTGCCCCGTTTCTCTTTCATCCCCATCCCCTCCGACGCTATGACCCCCGTTTTCCGAGTGTGTGTGTGTGTGAGTGAGGCGGTGTTGGGGGACAAATCCTGCAAAATGTGCGTGTGTGTGTGTGTGTTTGGGACGGACGGACGAAATGGTGATGTCAGCGAATTCTGTGGACGCGGCGAGGAAGGATCCTGGAGGAGTCCGAGCGTGTGCTACTTGATACGGGCTATTATCGTGACACATTGTCTGTGTCTGAACTGATCTGCGTGTCGGCGGGCATCTGACTGGAGATGCCGCCTTGGGTTTCAGCTTGCGGGGACGTGCCCAGTGTGCCCCGGCATTTCGCGTTTATTAAACCGACTTGGTCCACAGCGCTGAAGTGATGTTCCGCTGCCTGTAGTTTCCGAGCGGGATAGGCTGGGCTGGGGGGTGCTCCTCTCGCTGTGCGCTGAAGGGAGACACTGGGGGGGGGAGAGGGGGGTGTGGACGCGTTAATGGGGGGGGGTTTGCTGTGTCTGAGAGCCCCGGAAACACCGTAGCCCCCTCTTTCCCGTGGGTCTAATCCCGCACTCGTGAGAAGTGCGAGTGGCATTCCCCGCTCCAGGTCACGGGCACGGTTTTAATCAGAGGCGGCGAGGTGCCGGAGCCAGGAATCTCGCATCGTCTGCATGACAAAAGAACTGAGATGCCCGTGTCAACTCTGCCTTTTTGTCTTCGTCATGCGGGCTCCTTTGAATCTTAATGAGGGGCTCGGGTCTACTTCCGCGTCCGTCCGTCTGTCTGTCACTCAGGCGGTGGGCTGGCCAGCGAGTCGGCTAGTCCTCTCCGGGTGTCTCGGCGCAGTCCGGCCGCCCGTGGCTTCGCCTCTTCGCCTGCCAGCTGATTGTGTTTTGCGATGCAGGGGCCTCCGGACGCCAACCAGCCGCCCTCGCAGCCGGAGAAAATCGGCTGGATCCGCAAGTTCTGCGGCCGGGGGATCTTCCGGGAGATCTGGAGGAACCGTTACGTGGTGCTGAAAGGCGACCAGCTCTACATCTCCGAGAAAGAGGTAAAAAGTGTCTGTTTTACCTGTCATGACCCGTTTCGACCCGTCCAAGAGGCAATTAAAAAACAACAACAACAACAACAACACGTTTTGTAAACTGTTGTTGACCCGCGTGTTCGGAGACAGTCGGCTCTTTTCATATTCCAGTCATCAGGCTGTGTATTATTTGGCCCGCGGCAATACGGTTTTAAATTACTCCTTCAGATATAGATGCTTTGCTAGTTTAAAATGAGTTTCAGTGACTCAGAGGTCAGGCTGTGAAGAACGATCATCCGTTTTCTCTGAGTGAACCATGGTGGTTTGCGTTGAGTCTAACTGTTGTATAATTCTGGAAAGCCCTGTGTGGCAAACTCGAGCCAAAGGGCATCACAGCGCATACAGGACGGGTTAGAAATGAGTGCAGTGCGTTTGGACGCTATCTCTGTCGTAGAACCCATGTCCGGAATGGTAAAAGCTGCTATAGTTAAATTGCAATTTCCTACTCTTCCTGCGCCTTTACTACAGAAGACGTCTGGGGAAAAAACGGTGATGTTCAGAGCTCGTTCCTGGTGGGATTTTCACCACCTAATCGGACGTTTAAGACCAAGAAGTCCCAAGTTTTCTAAGTTTTTGAGCTGCGTCCTTGTCATTGCACTTCTGCAGGTGCTAAGCAGCCCCTGTGTTAGAGTCTACAGACAGTCGCGACAGCTCGGCTGTGATGCTAACTAGCAGCCTGGCTCCCCAGCAGTCCCCGTTCTGACCAGTTCCTGACCCAGCGCTTGGCACAACACCATCTGCCCGGGCCCCGGGAGAGAACGGACACTTCGGCACTTTGGGGGCCCCGTGGAGTTCAGGAAAGACGGGTGCAGACCGAGTCCGAGGAAAGGGAGTCATTGATCCGCGTTACGTGTGGGAGACCCGTGTGACAGCGGTGATGGTTTAGTGATTCCACGGCAGAACGGGCACCTGGGTGATCCAGGAACGCAGAAAAGGTGGAGGCGGGCTTTTGGGAGAATTGCACCTTGCAGACTCAGCTCTGGGAGTGCCAGCAGTTATTTTTATTTTCAGCTGTGCTGGCGATCAGAGCTCGAGTCAGTAAATTGTCAGCAATACTGAGGGCTTATGATGTCCATCAGCCAAACCCAAGCGTGCCCCCACTCGCCCAGCACGGGCCAACCATGCACTAACCCTGGGTGGGTTTTCATGTTCCCCTGTGTGCCGGAGCTGCAGGAGGAGAGGGCTGGGCGTCATCTCCGTAGCTAGCCCTGGATTCCTCTGGGGGAAACGGACTCTGCTGCCCCCCCCCCCCCCCGGGGTTACTTCCGGCTTGCTTTTGCAAGGACCCGGTTCTTGTTTTTTTGATTTGTTTGATTTTTATTTGCTGTAACTGCTCCTCAGCACTGTCAGCAGGCCAGCCAAGGCTCACGATTAGGGCTGGCGCGGAGTTCACGTGTCAGGCCACTCTGCCCTTCAGTTTCAGTGAACACCGTTGCTCAGTTTAGCACCACAGTCTTTCAAAGGCTGCATTTTGGCTTCCTTTTGTAGGCATGAGTCATGCTCACAAGCAGTAGGATGGTCTTTTTGCAGTGCTGCCCTGCTTGTCTGTTGCCCTTTCTTTCGCGTTATGTGTACTTTTGGGCAAAACATCAGACATCCATCCATTTTCTAACATCCATCCATTTTCGAAACACTTTATCCGATTCAGGATCACAGGGTAGTTAGAGCCTATCCCAGCATGCAATGGGCGGAAGGCAGGCTACACCCCGGACGGGACGCCAGTCTATCTCAGGGCAGACACGGACACAAACACACAGACACGCTCACGCGAGGGCCAGTCCTCCCCGAAGCCGATTCATCTACCAGGATGTTTTAGGACTGTAGGTGAAAACCGCGGCACCTGGAGAACATGCAAACTCCATACAGACAGTACTCCAGACATTGAGCCCAGGGCCAGCAATGCTAACCACTGCGCCACTGTGCCACTCAGCAAAACCATCAAACAAGAATTAAGCGGCCCCCTAAACTAAAGAGGCCCTGCACACAGGTGAAGACACTCGATTTGATTCTGAGGAGTTCCTGGCCTCTTCAGTGTCTGGGGCCGCAGTGAGAGAACAGGACGCGCTGCTGAGGCCGGTCGTCTGAGGCCTGTGTCTCCTGGCGGCGTGTCGGCCACGCTGGGGCAGTTCCACTGCTCGAGGAAGTCAAGTTCGCGATTTAGTGGTGAGGAAACGTCTCTGTAGAGGCTAGCTCTAAACACCCCCCTTTCAGACCGCTACCAGACACAGCTGCTTTTTTGGGTGGGGTCTGTGCCTCAGCGAGGTGGAGCTCTTCAGAGCAAAACCCGGCCCTTCTTCCTGTCTCTCCGTCGTGTTTTCGAGCTGATAAAGCCTGTTGCTCATAAGGGGCTCGTGTGGAGCCTGTCCAGACTGAACAATTGAAACGGGCTCAATGACCCGATATTCCACCTTTCCTTCAACTGTTCACTGCCTGTGGTTTTTATCAAACCCCGATCAATACAAACGAGCTTCTTTTTGGGGGAGAAATCGGAGTGAATGTGAACCTGCCCACTTTTCGTTTGTGGTAGATCTGCTGGATGCCTGAGAATTGCAGGCCAGTGCGACTTCCTGGTAATTAGTTTTCCATTACTGATTTATTTTTGTAATGATCTTGGAGTCATGTTAATTAGTCTGGAAGCAAATATGCATTATGGGTGGAGATATGAAAGCTCTGTTGCAGTGGAAATGGCTCTGTTCCCACCAACATGTTTCTTGTGCTCCTGTTTGCACATTTTCTAGGTTGGCTTGCGCGTGCAGGCTACAGAACCAGTTTTAAAACTTCTGTCCGAAACAAGCCCATCTGCTACTTCAAGCATAATAAATGGCATCTGATCTAGGGCCATTCATTTCTTATTCTGCTTTCGGTGGGGTAGGAAAGATATTCCAGTAAATGAGCTTGTGTCTCTTACGGTGCAGAGAGATCAGGGTCAGATCTGGAACTTGAGAGGAGACAAAGACCTGCAAACACCGTGAGGCCTCTGGGTCACTCCTGTGTCTTAGTTGGCTCTAGCACTTCAGTATTATGGTTGCATTGATGAGGCTTCCTCACAGCTCTAGTGTCATCCTGGTTTGTCTGGGATTTAGGCGTCTGTCTGTGGGGTGTCTGCATGTTCTCCTCGCCTTGTATGCGGCCTTATTCTTCTGGGGGCTCTGGTTTCTTAGCGACATGCTGGGCCAGAGTGGTTATCCTGAACCGCCTGGTAGCACTGCTGCCTCACAGCTCCGGAGACCTGACTTTGGTTTGGCCTCAGACGTCTGTCCGTGCGGAGTCTGCACGTTCTCACGTGGTGTGTTTCGGTTTCTCCTGTGGGCCCTGCTTTCCTTCCACTTCCCAAGCGCATCCTGGTCGGGACTGAGTGGTTATTGTGAAAAGTAACATGCAGCAGAAAACAGCAGGTCAACTTGGAGCTTCCTGAGGCTCGCTGTTGTCCTTCAGGAGAGTGTGGCAGAGAAGCACACAGCACAAAACCCCATTTCTTTTATTATTTAAAGTGCTTCCAAGATGGATTGACTCTGGCGACAGTCTGCGCTGTCTGACTTTGCTTGCTGGGAAATAATTTGGCGCCGAGAGCTAATTGGCGTGCCATCTGTATGCGGCCCATTCGAGTCACAGGGATCGAACTCGGCAGAATATTGAGTCTGTCATTATTTTACGTGCCAAGCCCAAGGACAAGAGAGGATGGTTTGTCTGTTTGTGTGGTTTCTCGCGTTTACTGAAAATACAGCATGGCACAGGAAAAACTCTCCTGTTACTCTGTTGTAAGACATTATAGAAAGGACAAGGGATTTTATATTCTATCGCCTGGAGGTCTCTGGAGCAGATTGCTATACTGATGAGCAGCAGAGCATTGTGCGACACTGATGTCCTTCCCCGGCGCACTTCCTCTCAGCCGGCTTTAGAAGGGTGTGTCCAGAAAGTCTCTGGAAGGTACATAAGGAGTGGTAGGGATAAAATATTTACTATCGAGGTCTACAAACCAGTCCATTTTTGGAGAGCAGTGGCATAGCTGTGTATTTACGGATATATCCCTTAGCACCTGTTGGCGGTTAGTGATTAAAGTTCTCTACAACAGAAAAATGTTACTTCTTCATAGGAGCACATAGGTGAGGTTACAAGGGCACTGGGAAATGAGGAAGAAGAACGCGGGTGAGCTGCTCTGTCCCAGATTTAAACCACGTTCCAGAGCAGACGGCTCTCAGCTGCTGGGGAAAATGGCAGACAAGCCGGTGATCCTCGACTGTCTTTCATTTCCGCCAGCCGAGCCTTCAGAAACCCACAGAGAAGTTCTGACGCAGTGCCCCGACTCTCTCAGGCACATGGAGGGCGTGCAGCAGGGCCTTACGTCAAAGAAGGTCAGGTGGTCTCCTGCACGCTCAGACGCATGATAGGGGACAATCCAGGCTTAACCTGTGATTAGCCTGCGCTTACCTTGCGGTGCTGAGCTCCAAGGTGTCCTCGGGGCGAGATTTACTGGTGGCGGCGGCCTGTCCGAGTTCTTAGCTGAGATGTTTCCTGAAACGTTGCAACTCTTCTGGGCCTCTCTGTGATGCTCTTTCAAGGTAAAACTAGGAGACCGTGGTCTTAAACTCGAGGCGGCATCCCCATAATCGGTTTTGCCGGAAATCCCCAACCTGTTTGTAAAAAACACCATCCAGAGGGCAGGAAAGCCAGAGGCAAGACTGGGGCTCTTCAGTCGTCATAAATACACTCCTTAGAGGAAGCACAGCTGTTTGAGAGAGTTTTAATTGTAGAAATAAGATATTATAGAAAATGATGATTGTCGTCCCGTGCTGGGGTCTTGGGTTCAATTCCAGACCCGGGGCACTGTCTGTGTGGAGTTTGCATGTTCTCACTGTGCTTGTGTGAGTTTTCTCCAGGTGCTTCCATTTGCTCCCACTGTCCTGGTGGGTTAATTGGCTTCTGGAAGAATTGTCCCTGGTGTGAGTGTGTGTGTGTGTCTGTGTCCG